ATTTATTATTTATTTTATATTATATTTTATATTATATACTATATATTTTACATATTTATATTTCATAATACATTTTATATATATTATTTCACTTTTATATTTTCCATTTATATTTTAAATATATTTCTATATTTTTATCTTATTTGTCTTCTTTTTTTTTATCTTTTTTTTTTATATATAATAAATTTTTTTCTATGATTTTTCTAATATTTCTACGAGTGTTTTGTTTTAGTATATTTGCATACAAATTTAAGTTTTTTTTTTTATTTTCCGAATAAGTTTTTATCAATATTACGTAATTTTTGCGATATTTGTTTTTTTTTATATTTTATATAAATATTTTTAAATAAATATTTACTTACATTAGGCTGATAAATGAAACAACTATAAAAAAATTTCAAAGATCAGTGCCATCTCATGTTTGAATTCTCAAAGCTCTGACTTATTATTAGCATAACAGAATGTGCAAGGAAGTATTCGAAGTCACAGACAAGAAAATGTACAAGAAAATGTACAAGAAGAACAAAATATCTTTTATCACTTCGAAGATGCTATATATGCGATAATAAAACGATATATAAGAATGCATAGTTTCTGTTAAAATTTTTAATCAATAGAACATAAAAAGACAATAAAATTAATCAGAAATTAGATTAATTAGATTAATTAGATCTAATGATAGAATGGTAGATTGCATAAACAAAAAGGACAAATAATTGAAGAGCAACACAAGAATTAGTTTAAAAATATTGGAATCAATGCTATCACCAGAATGCCATAAATAAAATATATGTAGAGATAATGTGAGAAGGATAGAGATATGATAAGAATTTACTGTCAGCGCTATCTCTTAAATGTCAAAGACATTTCTTTAAAGATAGGGTAAGATAAAGTATTCAATAGATGGCACTGTACTTAATTATTACTCTATTTTTATATATTTAATTTATAGTATTTTACAGATAATACTAATTCTTTAATTTTTCCTATATCTGTCCTTTTTCCATTATCTAATTTTGTCGTAATTAATCACAAACAAAATACAGGATTTTAATTAAACGCATTTTCATTATTTTTTTTTCAAAATTATAATATATCTTAATTTTTAATATAAAAAATATAATTATTATATTTTCGGTTTTATAATATATTTTTAGATCGAAGATCTTGTAAAACAAAGTATACTTCGAATAAAATTGATAAATCAGTAGAAGAGTATTTAAATTATAATAAATAATATGTTATTTGAAAAAGTTTCAAATATCATTTCAAAAATATTTATAGATCTGAAAAAAATTATGTATATAATTATAAAATGAAATAACATGTCATTTGAAATTATGTCATTTCAAACTTGCCCATATTTACCACATATACATTTTTTCATTCTTTTGAATTATGAAACAAATTTAGATCTTGATTTCATGTAAAAACATTACGTATTTAAGCTCTTTAATGTCAATGAAAACATTATTTGCTTTTTGCTTATAAATACGTTATCCATTGATTACAAAATCGATGTAGAACTTTTCTTCAGATTTCGTATTAAACGATATTTATTGCTCGTCTGACGCACATGTTTCGTTTTCACTATTTAGAATGTTACAATTAATATTTTGTATATGAATAAGAACAAAAATTATACATTGTTCATCAGTTATCGTTCAGTTATAATATATCGTTATTGAAATATTTACATTTTTGAATTAAATATAACATAATATTTTAAAATCTAAAAAAGAAAAAGAAGTTTGCAGAAATAATGGTGCTCGTTGGAGATACAAATTCGATTTTTAATGCCGGTTTAATATTAGGATGTACCGCTCTGTGTGCTTCAAAGGACAATGTAAAAGCGAGAAGACTTCGAGATATAATATTCATCGTTTTCTCAATGACTCTGTATTTAGTTAGTCTCGTAGTAATGTACATTTATGTATTCTCGTACGAAGATTCAGATTTAAAAAGCATGCTTATCGTCATAATAAGAGTATTTCTTATTTATTTGTGCTTGTTCACGGATGCATCGGTGACAACTTTATGGAATTGGAAGATTCGATCCGTTTTATCGCAGTTACGTAATTTTGATCGAGCTACAAAATTTCGTGATTTTTCAAAAGGAAATAAATTGCGTATCATTTGTCATGTCACAGTGTTCGTCAGTTTCTCATATTGGGCGATAGTAGGATATTTCACGTACAGGTAAGATGTTGTAAAGAAGAATCGAACATCAAATTTTATGATAGTTATATATTATATCGTATAAATGTTCAAATTTTTAAAAATTGAAAATAAAGTAGGACTATTTCAAATTCGATAAGAATTGTTGAGAAATTGCATAAATATATAAATGTGTTTACATTTGTGAAGCAATTATCGAAACGTTAAATGTATACGCAATAAAATTTTATTTTATTGAGATTTTTAATATTTAGATATATAGATATTTAGATATATAGATATTTATTTAGATTTTTCCTTTTAGAATCGAGCCGAGAGTGCCAATTTTTCGCGGGATAATTTACTTCATCATGGATGCTTCGATGAATACACAAATTTTGATATTCGTGTGCATTTTATTCCTTATCGAGGAACGATTCCGTCATCTCTGCTCAATGATAGAATTCTCTAAGGGTGAGTTTATTTCTTATTTATCTTTTAAACGGATATACAATATTAAAGTTCACGGGTTTATTTATTTTCGATCAATTTTATGCATCGTTTAATCGTATTCGAACCGTAGTCGATCGTTTTCTTTAATCTATATATTTTTCTTCCTTCATGTTGCACAGTAAAGAATCTTGGCACTCTATAAATTCTTATTTTATTCTGTTTCGTTCGTATGTTTGATTATTATTGTTGACATTTGTTTCTTACAAATTCATACGAAAATCTGATCTTTCGTTTAAAACAACAATAAATCATGAAAATCACGCGTCCCTATCGAACGAAATCGAAAATTTCTTCGATACTCATTTTATACGAATCGATATTGTCTCGATCATTTCCTCGATTACAAATCATAGGATTTTTATCGAGGATTTTAATCGTGTCATGAGCGACGCGGGCTAACGAGTTTGAATGAATGTTTAATCGTACCTTTGTGCTCCTATTTTCAAACAATTATTTTTATCGTTTTTTCCCCGACCTGTTACCAGCTGACAAGATAATAGAGGCGCATCGATCAATTAGGCATTCGATGTTACAACAGATATGGTGGCTTCATTGTTCTCTAGCGAACGCGACCGAAATAATTAATTCCGTATACGCGATTCAGTTGTTGTTTTGGATCTCGACTATGTCGTTCAACCTGATGTCGAGGATTTATTCGTTGAAAGTGTTCAAATTATCGGATTACGGGAAGATCAGGGAATCAATGCTGGTGACTGATTGCGCGTGGAACCTCGTATTGATTACCACCGTGTGTCACATGACAGCTCATCAGGTAGATCTTTCTCTAAACCAAACTGAAATTTCCCGAACGCCACACGTACGGCGATATAACTCGATTATTATTTGTTTAGGCGAATCGTGTCGGCAAGCTTATTTTCTCACCTTACTCTTCCGTTTCTCTGAAATCGAATTTACATTTACAGGTAAGCAGTACTCTGGTATTAATAAAAGTTGATCGTTGATCGTTTCGATCTAAATTTTTTTTCTTTACTCTTCGAACCTTACTCCTTTATATCCCTCTTTGTCTCCCCAAGAAACAAACAAACAATAGAAACAAATAAAAAATAAAAGAACCTCGATGAAATTTTAAGTTTTAGATAATATGATAACATTCTCGCAACTTGCTTTTTCTCTCATTATTTCCTCTAAACTCGTCTCTTCCTATAACACCTCTTTGTTACCTTGAACGATCAATTACTTTAAATTAGATTCCTCGCTCTTAACGAAGCGAACGCTCCTTCGAGCCTTTGTATTCTATGAGATCTCTATTGATTCTGATTACAGGAAAATATAGAAGCAGCGGCTTACTTTCAACTAAGGAAAGTACATATTTTTACCGTTGCTGGTTTAATACGCGTCGATCTTCCTCTTCTGCTTTCGGTGAGCATTCAACGAACGAAAATAAAAAGTTGTTAAAGAAGAAAGAAAAAAGAAAAGAAAAGAAACGACGCGAGGATAAATAATCGAGTGTTTCACTGAAATATATTTGATTTTATATATTTTTTACAGATATTCTCAGCGATAACAACGTACTTGGTGATCCTTACTTAAAAAACTTCCTCCAAGATTTCCACGATACTTTTATCGTTTCGATTCCATCTAAAGAATCGTAACAAAAGTTGCATTAGCAAGACAGGTACGAAATAGGAAACGGAAGAGAGAGAGAGAGAGAGAAAAAAGGAAAGCATTAATCTTGCATATCTATCCGTTGACCTTTAATGTGAAGCGACACGAGGATGACAATAGATGCGATCGACTCGCCATCGTAACGGAATATGTGTGAATTTTGTCTCATCTTTTTTTTTTGTGAGTATATTCACGAGATGCTACACATTGGAACAATGTACATTGATTTATTGATCAATGTATCTTATACCGTTCCTTCATAGAGTTCGGACACACTACTTGTGGACTGAGTTTCATATATAGGATATAAAAGAGAAGTGATTTATATGATTGACGAAAGAACGCAATATATAAAGCTTCTTACGATATTATTATATTTATTAAGTAAACAAGATTGTATTTACGACTTTATTATTTGTAAATAAAACCAAATGTTTAAATATGTTTGAAATTGAAAATCTTTTGTTTTGCTTTCTTTATTTTTGTTTTTGTAAATTATTGAATGCAGTTTCTATATTTTTTAACAAGAATAAAAGTTTATTGGTTTAAACGATTGACTCGTTTATTTAATTAAAACATGTTGTAATTTCCTTACTTTCGAAGATAAAACGAAGTTTTTCATCTATAAAAAGAAACGAAGAACGAATCTAATTAAATATGAATATCCCGATTACCCATCCAACAATTCTGATATTATTCACACAGGTTCGTTAAAATAAAAGTTGCAAGCTAATCACGCGTTATCCGAAAGTTTGATGAAAGATTCAATCTTTATTCAAACCTTGATTGAACAACAAAAGTGCAGTTCCACTCATCGATTCCTTTAGATATAGAAAAATTCTTCACAATAAATAAAACATTTCGATTCTCCAGCAATGATTCTCCACGTACACACGACGAGATTTCATTTCGCATACTACATCACGTGTAATATCACGTGGAAATATATTACGAGATTTACTCGCAGTTTGGGATCACGTTTATACGCGGAGGAAAATTTGCTCCGTTGGAAATCGAATCCGAAAAAAAGCGTACGTAAAAAAGAAAAAAAAAAAAAAGAAGAAGAGGCAAGGACACGTGTAACGCGAGAGGGGTGGATGGCGGGGACGAATGAGGGGAACACGATGATTTTAACAGCGATGTTCCTTTCCGGTAATGACGTCTGTCGAACTTTTATGGATCAAGGGGATCAAGCCGGATCTGGACATTTTTCGACAGATCTCCTGTGAAGAATAACACAGGAAGCGGGAAGGGTAACGGAGAAGATTGAGAGAGAACGTACAGAACGCAGGCGCGCGATTGAAGGAAACGTGCGCGAGTGGTGTCCAACGTCTCTAATGCTTTCAAGAGCGCCGGCGGGAGCTGCGATTCTTCCTTTCAGTTTATCGTGGCCCCGCTTCCGAAACTTTTCACGCGTATTATTCTTCGCCGCGAGGGCGAAGGAATCTCGTAGAATTTCTCGTAGAAAATTAACTCGTGGAAATAGTGAAACACGAACGGTGTGTATGATCGTGTTTACCAAAGAGTCGAGGTGAAACCGAATCGTTGCCGGAAAAAAAAACCTCGACTCGAATGCGAAGTGACGAAGAGTTTACGTGTTTTGATCATTAACGATTCGAATTAATTGGAATGGAATTGAAGACAAATCGGTAGAATAATTGGCGGAATATCGAAAGTAGAAGACTTTAAAAGGTTAAAAGACACCGGTTGTTTGATACTCAACACGCGAACCTGTTTAGTTTTACTCGAGAAAGTAAATATTTAAAACGAGCGCATAGAGGAATTGTTGAAACTACGCGTGCAATGGTTCCATTTGCGTAATGTTTCTTTCCATGTAAATTTCTTAAGAGCTTTGCCGAGTGGATGTTATGTGTGTTAACGTGCACGGGCTATATTTTTTAAAATAAATGTAAATTCGTGCTACGTGAAAAAAATCGCCACTTGCAAACATTCTTCAATTACGTTAATTATTTCGTTCGTTCTTCGCTCGATCTCTTTCGAAAAATTCGAATTTTTTAATCTTTGACGCGTTCGATGACACATTTCGTTCGATGTAAACATTTTACATCGCGTGCTCTGTCTATCAAAAATAACCATCATCAATCATCGTATTACTTTTGCATTATTTATAATTTTCCGAAACATTGATAAAATGCGAGGATATCGCGGATACTTCCTTCAAATTTATTTACCTTTTTTTTTTGTTATCTCGTCGCTGGGCAGATAAAATTATTTATCGTAGACATATGTACGATGGTTAGATCACAGATACAAAACCTGTCGTGACTATACAGGGTGACTTTGAATTTGAATCAGATAGAAAAAAAAAAAAGAGAAAAGACACTGAGGGGTAAAGACGAGGGGAGGCGAGATTTCACAGACTTATCTTTCAATTAGAATTCAGTTTCTCCGTTGATGTTCTGGAATTAAATGACGAATAACAAAATTCTCGTTATTAACGATCGTATTATATTTATTATTACAAGATTATACGAATTAACAAGAACAATATCTTTGAACTGACTTTTTTTTTCTTTTTAAATAGCCACGAAATTCCGCCTATAGTTCCACACGTGATAGACGAATTATAAACTTTTCTTCGACTTGGTCGAAAAATTATAACTGCGTATAAATTTTGATTTCGACGAAATATATACGAAAAGCGTTTCATCGACGAAAGTGGAAATGGATTAAATATATTATTAAACGGAATAACAGAGACAAAGTTGTTGAAGGAGTTGAATTCGACTTTCCTTTCTTAATAATGCGTGATGACTCGATTATGACACGATTCTCTTTATAATCGCGCAATAAAAATTTATTTTAATCGAACGGTGAACACGAAAACGGTAATCACGATAGCAAAGTATTACGAAACGCGTCTTCTCGAGCGATCAATTATCATCGTCGATCCAATGATCCTCCTTGCCTTCGGTCCGAAACCGGAGCAACCGGAAGTCGGATGTGCCATCCATTCCCGTTAAAGGAACAAATTACCCTTCGTGAAATCCTATATAAAGGAGTTTGATGGATTGTAAAAAGCGAGAAAATAATAAAATAGGGAAACGTGAACGACGCGAACTCGAGAATGATGATATCAACACCCTCCTGGTTGGAATTTAATAGCTCGGCGTACAACGATGAGATGATATTCTCATACATAGATTCCGAGGATATAATTCGCCACCTCCTCGCCAAGTTTCAAGGCAAAACTAATTACTTGTTGATCGTCCTCTATGTTTTCGTGATGGCGCTCGCGGTGACGGCCAACATTCTCGTCATCGCGGTTGTTTTCAAGTATCATTACATGCGTAGGTATGTAGAAATAATTAGATTTTGTGAAACTTATTTAACGCAATTCGATTAAAAGTTAATCTCTTACTTTGTAACTCTTAAAGAGAATATTTAACGAAATTCAAAGTTGAGAGGGAGAGAGAGAGAGAGAGAGAGAAAGTTTCGAGGAACGCGATAGAAGACAAGGCGATTAACTCCTCGCTCGTAGTAATTTAAACTTTGCGAGACTTTTCATTGTGAAACGAAGTTCTCAACCGAGATTCGACTATTATGTGACGACGAGTCGATTGAAACGGTCGACGAAAAAGTTGATGTTTTTATCGTGGTTTTCACAATTATTATTATCGAGTTGTCGCTTTCGCTCAGGAAAAAAAAAAAAAGAAAAAATAAATAAATAAATCGCGAATGAATTTAATTATAACTTCGGGCGAGGCTCGTTATGAGATTATTCTTAATCCAAATGGTGTTACCCTTTCTTTTTTTATAATTTCCATCGTTTATAGAAAAAAGAGAAAAGTTTACGAAGTGACGAAACGAAACGGAACGTTGGATCACGTCGCAAAATAATGGCAATGAAGCTTCTGCGCGTCATCCATTGTGAATCGTTTATCATTCTCGATTCTTTAAACGCGTTCATGACGATTCTCGTGATAAACCTCACCTGACCCAGTTTCATTCATGGAAAGAACTTGGCGAAAACTATAACGTAAACGGGTGTTGAGGGACGATTAATTAACGCAATTAGATTAACGCTAACTCCTGACTAAACTAGGGTCAGGGCAGGTACAATCAAAGATGCACGAACGCGTATAATAAATATCAACAACGCATTTCCAACCGTTTCAAAAGAATGTATAAATAATATAGTATTCGAGGTAATAGTAAACAATGGAGTGTAAATCGAATTTATTAAGAAAAGAGTTGTGATTTGCACGTGATATCACATTATGTGAAAGAATGAAAAATTAATAATTTTATTTATCTCGTGGTTTTTTGTTCAATTGTTGTAACGAATTAAAAAAAAAATGAATACAAAGAATCACCAATATGATTTTAATAAAATTTGATTTAAAATTTCATTAATAATATTGATATTCTTCTTTGAGTTAATTAAATGTCACTATTTTCTGTCTAATAATTTTCTAAATTAATTAATATTCATATCTTTTTGCGATTTCTTTTTTTTTTTTTTTTTTCTTTTTCGCATTTCATCGTGCTTCTTACAAATAAGATCGGATCGAAATTTCACTTACGCGGTCGTTAAAAATCGCGACAATGTGTTAAGCTCGAGCATTCTCGCTCGCAGAAGACGGAGAAACGTAAGAGTGTGTGTGCTTACTTCTGACAACGAATGAAGCATCCGTGCAAATAAGCGATCGGTTCGCACTCGTCGGGATACGTGAACGAACGTCACGATTTATTTATGAAGCAGAAATTGTTGCCCTCTCTGCCTTCGGAGGGTTCCCTGTGAATACGAGCGCGAAAACTTTGATATTAACCAACAACGCGTTGCAACGATAACAATAATCCAGAGAGTGCGCGTTCCTCGAAAACTCTCCAAACGAATGTTTAACGAGCGGTTGTACGCGAATTATTTATTTTCTGACACGGCATAAAATTCGTCGCCTCCTCGAATCATGGTGAAAACACGTATGTATATTTTCTAACGTAAAAAAAAAAAAAAAAAAAAAAAAAAAAA